TGCCCATGTATAGCGTGGGGGCTTTTGAAGATATCCTCGTGCATGGCCTTTCTTCGTGCGCTCCAGATGGCCCATAAGGTCACAACCAACGTCACAAATTCCACTGATGATAAGGATTTGTTCATCGCAAAGATCCAATCCTTTGCGTTCTCTTCATGGTGGATGCTCATTTGATATAGGATGTCCTCTGATGATAATGCCCAGGTGCTTCGAGACACCGGACAATTTAGTAAAGCGTGTCTCCATGTATCATGAGCTCCACAAAGATTGCATGAAGAAGTCGTGGCCATATTCGGGCGCTGCAGTACATCACCGGAGGGTATGGAATGTCTCGCCAGACGCCACACGAATACGCGGATTTTTGAAGGAACTTGAACTCGCCATAATGATTTCCAACCCTCGCTTTCTGCCTCCACATGCGACGAACTCTCATGTCCTTCCAGCTAGCCTTCTCTATTGTACTTTGTCTGGATTAACATCTGATATGCCGATCCTACTGAGAAGAAACCTTGCTGCTCCTCGTACCAAGCCCAAAAGTCTTCGATCCTTCGTGTGCAAAGTGGTATTTTGAGGATTGCTTCAGTGTCAAAAGGTGTAAATACCGATCGGACAACTTCCTCCTTCCATGTCGCCGTGGACTGCTCAATCAACTCAGAAACCCTTTGAGGAGGGTTCTGTATTAATGAAGTGATTGGTCTCTTGTAGCTCGCTCGCGGGATCTAGTTATGGTCCCAGATGCTAGTTGTTTCACCATCTCCTATCCTCCTTACAATTCCTTGCGCCATAATGTCCCGCCCATCCAAAATGGCTCTCCATATTTGTGATGGGTGGTTTCCCAATTCCGCATCTAGAAGTGAACAGTTCGGGAAATACACTGCCTTCAGAATGCAGCCACTTAGAGAGTCTGGTTCCGTCAAAAGCCTCCATGATTGTCTTGCCAAGAGGGCAAGATTAAAAAGCTCCAGATCCCTGAATCCAAGTCCTCCCATATGCTTTGGTCTGGTCATGACATCCCATGCAACCCAAGCGGGTTTCCTTCTCCCTCTATTGCTTCCCCACCAGAACTGTCGTATGATGGTTGAAACACTTTCACATAAACCTCTAGGAAGCCTGAAGCATGACATCGAAAACACAGGGATAGCCTGAGCTACAGACTTGATTAGGATCTCCTTTCCGGCGGCAGACAGAAGTTTGCCCATCCAGCCTTTTACCTTCTCCCATACTCTATCCCTTAGGTACTTGAAAGTCCCATTTTTAGAATGACCAACCTCAGTCGGCATCCCGAGATATCGATCACTGAGCGATTCATTCTGCACTTGTAATTTGGTTTTCACCCCTTCTCTCACTACCTGTGGGCACCCTCTGCTGAAGAAAATAGACGATTTTGCGTTGTTAATTTGCTACCCCGATGCCCTACAGTACTCGTCCACTAGGTTTGAAACCTCTTCTGCACCCTCCACACTAGCCTTGAAAAGCAACAGGCTGTCATCAGCGAATAAGAAGTGATTCACCGGCGGAGCCGAGGAAGCCACCTTAATACCTTCCAACAGTGATGACCGAGAACTGAATTTCAGGAGGCACGAAAGGACCTCTGCTGCAATCAAGAAAAGGTAAGGGGAGTAGGATCTCCCTGCCGGATCCCTCTGGATAGATTAAAATTTTCAAGCTTCTCACCATTAAAGAGCACTGAAAAAGAAACCGATGAGACCATAGCCAAAACTGTATCAATCCATACCTGGGCGAAACCCAACTTGCTCATGATGGCCCTAAGATAGTCTCACTCCAACCTGTCATAAGCTTTCATCATATCCAACTTAAGTGCACAGAAACTATTGTTCTTTGACTTGTTTCGCTTCATGAAATGTAGACACTCATAGGCACAGATAATATTATCCATTATCAACCTTCCGGGGACAAAAACCAATTGCTCCCTAGAGATAATGTCTGGAAGTATTTGGTGCCTTACGCGTCGCAGGGTGGTAAACTTCTCAACTGGTCGTTACTCAAGAAAAAAAACTTCTCAACTGGTAAAAAAAACATAAAAAACAGGAAACTGTTTTTTAGACAGTCTCGGACTCTAGTGTCGTGCCAACCGGCGGGTATACATATACATCTCCCGATCCGATATGTACAGAGGCACACACGCCACAGGCTGTCTCGATCGTTCGTCGATCCGATATGTCACGCCGCGCACCAAGCCGCTGGTCGAGCATCCCTTCCGAGCTCGCCGGCGTCGTGCTCCGCCGCCTCCCTTGCCATGCCGACCGGACCCGCTTCGCCGCCGTCTGCAAACAGTGGCGCGCCTCTGCGCGGTGGAACTCTCCGCCCTCGCACTACCCATGGCTCGCCTTGCCTGACCGGACATTCTACAGCCTGCCTGGCTCCGCCTTCCTGCCGCTACCGCTCCACCTCGACCGCCACCGGCAGCTGCCGCACGCGCAGAGCTCGTGCGGCAAGTGGCTCGTGTTCGAGCGCTTCGACTGCGCCTACACGCTGGTCAGCCCCTTCTCCATGTCCACCACCATCCCGCTCCCCGGCCTCTCCGACTCGTACGCCCCCAACGTGCCTCTCTGGGTCGCGCAAGACGAGCCGAAGCCGTATATGTTGAAGCTCGTGGTGTGCTCCGACGACCTCATTGCCGCGATCGTCGATGACAATGAGGCATGGACGTATAGCAAGCTCGCCTTGTGCCGGCCAGGGGCGTCCTCGTGGTGGTCCGGCACGCCCGATGAGCTTCGCCACCTCCAAGACATTGTCTCGTGCGGGGGAAAGCTCTACGCCCTCGACAGCTGGGACGGGCTCTTCTCCGTGTCCATCGGCACCGACGGGCGCACCGGCGAGCCGGCCGTGTCACGGGTCGACCACCTCACGGGTAACCCCCGCCGGGGCCGGGCCCTCGGCAACTCGCCGCGATACCTGCTAGAATCCAGCGGAACGTTGCTGTTGGTCTGCAGGGAGGATCCTAAGAGCAAGGCGCAGCAGACGACGACAGGGGGGTGTCGGATGTGGAGTGTGCTCGAGCTGCAGATGGGGACCAAGTTCAAGGTGCTCGAGGCGGACTTGGCGCGGTCACGGTGGGCGAGGATGAGGAGCGTGGGCGACGACCGGATGCTGTTCGTCGGGCCATGGTGCTCCCGAGCGGTTCATGTTGCCGCCGCCGCCGCCGCCGAGCACGAGCAGGACTGTCTCTACACCGGGGACCGTATCTTCTTCACGGAGGACGCCATCGCTGCGAGATACAATCGTCGATACTACCAAAAACAATTGGAACCCTTCTACTGCAGCGTCTACGACATGAGGACGAGGCGGTCGGAGTTGTTCCTCCAGACGCCCGTGCGGCCGTTGAAAGGCTTCCCGGTCACGTGGCTATTCCCTCCAAGTCAGGGATAGCTGCGACGGAATTGTCACTTCTATGCATTTGATCTACTAGTAGCTAGCTCGATGTTGGTAGGCTCTGCATGCATGCTGGCCTCAAATACTTGTGTTGATGATTGCAAACCCTAGATAATGTACTCCACAAGTCCAGATTTTTCTCAAGTTAGAGTTTGAAACCTTTAGCCATAGTAGATGTTGTGTGTTAGATATTCAAATTCGAAATTTGAGATCCGGTTGCCATGTGCTAACTAACTTCTCCAGATGGCTATATGTTGGGCCCCACAATGCAAAGGTCTACAAGGGAATCTTCAAACGCTCACCTGCAAATTTTCTATGGCATCCGTCCGGCCGCGGACACCGCCATCCAACGCTATCCGCGTACAATTCAACCCGGGTTTAAACTAACCGATAAAATTCAAGCAAAACACGGGGAATTTTCATATATATATACCGGACAAAATTCAGTACACTTTGAATTTTTTTAACCAAACCTTACTCTAAACATAATATAAATGATTGCCGGTGCTTGTTCCCCATGTCCGGCCATAAGCCCTAAGAACTGAAGCTACGGTCATCTCCTGCTTCTGCTCGGACGAGAGGTTGTCCTAGAGGGCTTTGGAGTGCGAGAAGGCCATGGCGGTCATGGTGTGAAGAAAGGGATCGAAGGAGGATGACTGCGGTTATGGCCGAAGCTGGAGTTTACATAGCGGGCGGATATGGCAATGGGCCGCAACGGTGTGATTAATGGTGGGTGACATATGGACAGACGGGTGGCGTCGAAGAAGGTTCATCGGCAATCGCATATCATTAGTGTAGGGCGACGGATCACCGGGGTGTCGTTTGAATGCGGAGAAGTCATGTGCACGGAAAGCGTTGATGTGATGTACGGTCACTGTTGACGGACACGTTCGGGCGCGTCCGTGGACATTTGAGGGCCCAAATTTACGGTTTGCGGTTGTAGATGCTCCGGGGCAAGTATTTAAATATGGTGAGGGATGGCACAAACCATATCTGCCATGTTCGTTCGATCAACATGAATTTGATGCGCCATATACTGTTACTACCTCCGTTCGGGTTTATTGGTCCCATTGTATTTCATGCCAAATTTTGATCATATATTAAACAAACAAAATGTTCACGCCTATCACCACCAACATAGTACAAACCCAATGAGATAAATTTTTTTGACATGCATTAACATTTTGTTAGTTAAATCTTTAATTAAAATTTGAGATAAACCACAAAGAGGATCTAAAAACCGGGACGGAGATAGTATATTGCTAAAAAATACAAGTCATGAATGCAGTGTTGGATCAGATCACGGGATGGGATAGCGGAAAGGATCAAGCATGAATGCAGTGCTACAGCGCGCGATTATTACCAGGAGAGGGCCAGAGGCTGTCTCCCCCGCCACGACAGCGGCGATGCATTGATACGTGAAGACTATCACAAACAGCTAGCTCCAGCGGTGCCAAAAATGGAAAAAAAAATGTAAGCATGGGCCGTCAGACAACGTTATTTTAAGCCTCTCTGTCTCAGTCCCACTCTCCCATGGTAGCTAACGCAAGCTCTCACATCCGGATCTGCCCCTCCTCTCCTCCAATCCCAGTTTCCGGCGAATCGCAATGGCGTCGTGGGACGAGCTCGTGGACTCCACGCTCGCGACTCTGGCCGGCAAGAACCTGCTCTTCATGCAGCGCCTCATCACCCTTCCGCCGCCGGTGCCGCCCTCCAGGACCTTCGCCGGGCCGGGGCCCTGGGACCGCCCCACCGTCGAGATCCGGCTCGACGGCGCCTCCACCCAAGAATGGCTCGCCCTAAGTCAGTGCCCAGCTCCGCTCCACCATGCATGCATGCCCCTGCTGCCTGCCAACCGCCGAAACATCGATCGATCTTACATTTGTTTTCGTGTGGTTGATCAGATGGCTTGGTCAGCGAGGAGGGAGACGAGGTGGACCGGAAGGTGGTCCTCTTCTCCGGGAACGACTACATCGGCCTCGCCACGCATCCGGCAGTCCTTGAGGCTGCGGCCAAGGTTCATGCATCTTAATTTACTCTCTGTCTCGCGATGCTAGTGCTGTAGTAGTGCATGCTGTGAACAAGCTCCCAATTTTGGCGTGTGCTTGCCAGGCAGCTCAAGGCCCGGGCATGGGGCCGAGGAGCTCCTCCTTGATCTTTGGGTACACTACTTACCACAAACTGGCCGAGGAATCACTCGCGGATCTGCTCAAAATGGAGGTACGGATTTGCTAATTCTTCGATTTTGGATATGCGCAATCAGAGCATTTTAGCCCATCCCATAAAACCGGTCAGAAGAGTAAAATCCGGTTTTACTCCTCTAACCAGGACGTAGCCGATCCTGTAGCGGCCTCTCTTCCCCCAAATCCACCGTCGCCCTCATCTCGCTGGCGACCTGCCCACTGCTCCCGCACCCTCACCCATGCCGCCATGGTAGGATCCCGTGGCCGCGGCTCTCTAGTGCCGCCATTTTTTTTCAAAATTTAGTGGAGGAAAAATAGCCCACTAAGTTTACACGACGATTTACTCCATTATTTTTTAGGAAATCTGCTAGAGATGCCCTAATTAACTTGTGGTCTGTTTTACGCAGTGATTCATGTAGATTCTTTCGTTTCTGTTTTCGTGGTAGAACTGTTTTAAGAACTACCATCTCTCATTCCTTCACCTTAATTTGGGACCACCTGTTGTCAACAAATACCTTGAAAGAAAAAATTATGTCAATTGAATGATCTGAGCTGGACGGGAAAGTGAGTGTCAATTCCGTTTCTTCTACTCCCTCTAATGTAAAACGTTTTCTAACATTACACTAATGTTAAAAAACGTCTTACATTATGGGACGGAGGGAGTACCTCTGAACCGTTTTCTCCTACCTCCTGACCGAGCGCTCCCTGCCCACGAACCACCAGCTGGACCACCTGCGACTGCCTTGCCGCCCAGTCGCCCTGCTGCCGCTGCCTTCCCTTAAATCCGGTGGAAAAAAATAGCACACTAAAGCACCGCTAATAGCACGCTATAGTGTTATGAGGATTGTCTTGCTAGATAAATCAGTGAACAATGTCTTACTAATAAGCTAACACCCAATTTGACTAACGTGGAATCTGTTTTCAAGTACCTGAGAAATAGCAAACGAAAACCTTAGAGCTACGGCCTCCTACGCAAACCAACTTTCCAATCCTGAGGCCCCACATTGCTTGGTATGTAAGTTCCGTAAGAAAATTATGTAGGTGTAGCAAAGCCAAATAGCAAATGTGCCTTAATTTATGATTTTATTTTGCTCTACAGGATTGCCTTCTTTGTCCCACCGGATATGCTGCCAACACGTCCGTCATGTCCGCAATAGGTAGCATCATCTCTCTCTCAGCTACCGGGAGAAACGCGGCGCAGGATGAGAGGATCGCCATCTTCTCGGATGCGTGGAATCATGCCTCCATCATCGATGGGATCCGCCTTGCGGAGAGGCAGCAGGAAGCAGTGGCCTTTGTGTACAAGCACTGTGACATGTCACACCTTGAGTCCTTGCTGTATGCATACTCTCTTCCTTATTTCCATCACATGGCATGCAACATACTCCCTCTGTCTTAAAATATAAATATTTATTATAACCAATGTACTCATATATAATTTGTAATAACATCTTATATTATAGGATGGAGGGCGTATATGGTACTGAATTATTAGGTAGGACTGGAGTTCCAGTAACTATATTTTAACTCTCTTTTCGTATGTGCAGGTCCGGCTGCTCAATGGCAAAGAAAGTTGTTGTCACAGATAGGCAAGTAACTAACGGGTTAATGTGATAAATGGCACTTGAATTCCGGCGATTCCAAGAAACGCCACTGCAATTTTCAAACTTTGAAAAATGCCATTTCCAGTGGCATTTTTCAAAGTCTGCAATGGCGTTTTTCAAAGTTTGCAAAAATTGCAGTGGCATTATTCAAAATTTTGGAAATTGCAATGGCGTTTCTTGAATTTCTAGAATTCGAGTGACATTTATCCAGTTAACCCTTAAACAAGTGCTACTTTATATTCGTCAGAGTTAACACCATCTTAAACCAATTTTTCAATCATAATGTGTATACAGTTTGTTCAGCATGGACGGGGATTTTGCTCCGTTGCCTGAACTTGTCAAATTGGGCAGCAAATATGGATTCTTGTTGGTCGTGGATGATGTTAGTGTTCTTAACTCCTTCCAGTTTCATTGTATTATTTTAGATCAATCTTTCTATCGGCGACGAATAATGTGTTAGAGACAATATTTTCTAGCAAGTTAGTTTTTTTCGAGAAGATCAGGGAGTCCTAGTTTCTGTTGCCTAGTTCTACTAGGTTTTTTTTTCCGCGGGGGCTACTTCTACTAGTTCGTGTAGGAGTCAGGTTGAGTGTAAGGTAGCCGTGTGATTAGGTTAAGAAAGTAGTAATGCTGAATCCGGTTTGAATTTTATGCCATGTCGATGTAGGTCTAGGAGCTCAGCTTGGCCCAGCTGATTTTTCATATATTATTCACAGCATAGGGAGTGAGTTTTTAACACTGTGACTATTGAGAAGAAAAAAGGGAAATTAGAGGGCGTGATACGAGCTCTTGGCTTAATCTTTTGTGCCCGGCCGTGTGTTCTATTGTTTTGATGTAATGATGCTCCGGCGAAATCTAACATAGTATTGGCTACAATTGTTTTTTCAAGGCACATGGAACATTTCTTTGCGGCGAGAACGGTGGTGGCATACCTAAGATGTTTGGGTGTAAAGATGGCATTGACATATGTGTTGGCTCCTTGAGCAAGGGCGGTGGTTGCCAGGGTGGTTTCATAGCATGCAGGTTATTATACCCTTAAGAACATAATCATAATTTTCTTTCCAATGACGAAGGAGCTGTTCACCCTGCTTATTAAAATGTGCACATGAATAGAGAACATGCTTAACAAAACCAAGCATGATGCTGCAAATCAGGTTATACCATACAACTACAAACTTATGATTGTACTTGACACCTGATTTCTCATGTTTATTTATTTATCGAGACCTGAAAACGACATCTCTTATGGTTCGCGCCTGACGGTGCCCCGGCGTTTTATTTTCCTTCTTAGAAATTTCCATATGGTATGGAGTATTTCAGTGTTATTTGAATATCCCCACAGTAAAAGAACTTTGCCAACAAGATTTACCGATAAAAAAAATCCAAATTCACCAAGGAAATTGTGCTTGTAATGTTTGTGCAAACGGTGGGAAGATATTTTTCTTGTAATCTTATAGCACTTGTGCAAACAAAGACCAAATATTATGAAATTTCATATTCTTTCTTCAACAAAGGGTGGATGAAATTTCATATTAAGCTCATGCCACCTGTTTTCACGCATCCGCGGTGCGGATTCTCAAGGTTATAAATTTGCTGAATCACTACTGGACTTGAGCGTAAGTTGGTGGCCCTTCATTTGGAGATTTATGACTAAATGTTTGTCTTATGATGGGCAGCACTAGATGGAAGAAGCTGATCATATCGCGAGGTCGTCCATTCATGTTTTCGTCAGCTTTGCCACTGCCCATTATTGCTTCTCTGCTTGGTAACATCTATCATTCCTGTGAATATTGCTTGCGCTCATCACGATTTTTCGAGCATTCTGAAACTGAGCATCCACCATCGTCGGTTCTATTTTAACCTGAATAAAAACCGTTGGTTTTAGCTGCGATCCATGTCTCGAAGAAGGAGGGATGGCGAAGATCACTTGTTTGGGACCACGTGAAGTACTTTGCTTCTTTGACAAAACTCAACATAACTAGTCCCATCATTCCCATTATAGTTGGAACCGAAGAAGCAGTGCTCAAGGCTCACAGGTACCATCTTCGATCCGCCTACTTCTTCTTACTTCCCTTTCATTGATGCATGCATGCTCTCTTTACTGCTTCATATTTCTCATGCTTCCTGATATTTTTGACACTGTAGGCACCTTCATAGATCTGGATTTCTTGTCATCCCAATCAGGCCACCAGTAGTGCCAGCCAACTCATGCAGGTTCCGGAATTCATATTTTCCCTTGCTCATATATGCAAATAAGAAAAACATATATAGTCCATTTCAACCAAGACTGATTGACTTTGGAACTCCTGGCAGGCTGCGAGTTAGTCTTAGCTCAGCTCATACCTCAGATGATATCAAAAGGCTGGTTGATGCGCTCTCTCCCTGGCTCCCCACTTGCGCTTCAGCTTCAAGGTTATAAGCAACGGGCCACTATTGGTGATATATATGGCCTAAAGCCAGTTATGGCTACAATAATTATGTCACCACTATGTTTGATGTTATTTTGAATTATGTGTATTGTGTTATTGTATAATTTTTAATAAAGTTGTCAACAAGCATGTAACTTGTTCTGAATTGTGAAGCCTCATTTCCAATATGCAATGCTATTCAAAACGACTCATGTTCTCATATCATCACGTGGGACATGGTTCATAATAACATATCAATATGAACAAACTCACCAGTTTAATAATTCACTGTGTAACCAAGTGAACTAGGAAGTTGTGGCTGAAGGAAATATGCCCTAGAGGCAATAATAAAGTTATTATTTATTTCCTTATATCATGATAAATGTTTATTATTCATGCTAGAATTGTATTAACCGGAAACATAATACATGTGTGAATACATAGACAAACATAGTGTCACTAGTATGCCTCTACTTGACTAGCTCGTTGAATCAAAGATGGTTAAGTTTCCTAGCCATGGACAAAAGAGTTGTCATTTGATTAACGGGATCACATCATTAGGAGAATGATGTGATTGACATGACCCATTCCGTTAGCCTAGCACTTGATCGTTTAGTATATTGCTATTGCTTTCTTCATGACTTATACATGTTCCTGTAACTATGAGATTATGCAACTCCCGTTTACCGGAGGAACACTTTGGGTGCTACCAAACATCACAACGTAACTGGGTGATTATAAAGGAGTACTACAGGTGTCTCCAAAGGTACATGTTGGGTTGGCGTATTTCGAGATTAGGTTTTGTCACTTCGATTGTCGGAGAGGTATCTCTGGGCCCTCTCGGTAATGCACATCACTATAAGCCTTGCAAGCAATGTAGCTAATGAGTTAGTTACGGAATGATGCATTACGTAACGAGTAAAGAGACTTGCCGGTAACGAGATTGAACAAGGTATTGGATACCTACGATCGAATCTCGGGCAAGTAACATACCGATGACAAAGGGAACAACGTATGTTGTTATGCGGTTTGACCGATAAAGATCTTCGTAGAATATGTAGGAGCCAATATGGGCATCCAGGTTCCGCTATTGGTTATTGACCAAGAATAGTTCTAGGTCATGTCTACATAGTTCTCGAACCCGTAGGGTCCGCACGCTTAAGGTTTCGATGACAGTTATATTATGAGTTTATGAGTTTTGATGTACCGAAGGAGTTCGGAGTCCCGGATGAGATCGGGGACATGACGAGGAGTCTCGAAATAGTCGAGACGTAAAGATCGATATATTGGACGACTATATTCGGAGTTCAGAAAGGTTCCGAGTGATTCGGGTATTTTTCGGAGTACCAAAGAGTTACGGGAATTCGCCGGGGAGTATATGGGCCTTATTGGGCCATACGGGAATAGAGGAGAGAGGCCAAAAGGAAGGAGGCCTGCGCCCCCCCCCCCCCTCTGGTCCGAATTGGACAAGGGGCGCAGCCCCCCTTTCCTTCTTCCTCTCCCCCTCTTTCCCCTTCTCCTACTCCAACAAGGGAGGTGGAATCCTACTAGGACTAGGGAGTCCTAGTAGGACTCCACACTTGGCGCGCCCCCTCCTAGGGCCGGCCTCCTCCCCCCTTGCTCCTTTATATACGGGGGCAGGGGGGCACCCCATGACACACAAGTTGATCTACGGATCGTTCCTTAGCCGTGTGCGGTGCCCCCCTCCACCATATTCCACCTCGGTCATATGTCGCGGAGTTTAGGCGAAGCCCTGCGCCGGTAGAGCATCATCATCGTCACCACGCCGTCGTGCTGACGGAACTCATCCCCGACACTTTGCTGGATCGGAGTCCGGGGATCGTCATCGAGCTGAACGTGTGCTGAACTCGGAGGTGCCATACGTTCGGTACTTGGATCGGTCGGATCGTGAAGACGTACGACTACATCAACCGCGTTGTCATAACGCTTCCGCTTACGGTCTACGAGGGTACGTGGACACACTCTCCCCTCTCGTTGCTATGCATCACCATGATCTTGCGTGTGCGTAGGAAATTTTTTGAAATTACTACGTTCCCCAACAGTGGCCTCTTTTATTTACCCAATAGAATAAAATCTGGGTCGTAACCAAACCTGGCAAATTATTTTGTATTTATATAAGGGATAAGTATATTTTCTGTCCTCGAACTCTTTCGAAAGTTGAGAAATCGTCCCTCAACTCCAAAACCACCAAAAGTTAGCCTCTCAACTATTTGAACTGGATACTTTTCGTCCCTCATAAGGTTTGAGGTGGTTTTTACATTGACATGGACCCCATTTTGACTACGTTCAGTTATATTCAGATTTTGTTAAGCTATATTCAGTACAGCTGCCTTTCTCTTGTTCACACACAAGTAGAAGAAGTGCAAACACTTCCCTTTTATCTTGTTCTCACTTGTACACACCCACATACACATACTCATGCACAAACACTTAATTGACATGGCAGTCAAACCAGTCAACATGGCCCGTTTCAATCAAAACAGGGTCCAAGTCACCGTAAAACCACCTTAAACGTTATGAGGAACGAAAAGTATCCGGTTTAAATAGTTGAAGGACAAAAAGTATCCGGTTTAAATAGTTCAGGGACTGACTTTGGGTGGTTTTGCAGTTGAGGGACGATTTCTCAACTTTGGGAAGAGTTCGAGGACGAAAAATATACTTATCTCTTTATAGACCCTCACCTGTTGGGCTGGCTCCCCCTGGTTGACAGATGATGTTTTTTTAATAGTTTCATCCATCTCATGGTAGCACGAGTTGCATTCTATGTGAGGGCAGATGTCGGGAGAAGTGCTTGGCTCAGAGAATGTTCAGAGCTTCACCACTTCCAAAGCTCCCCAACTTTCGTCGAGTCTTACGATGTCCCTTGATGTCCAAAATCCAACCTTCTAAAACCTTAGTCACATATGGAAGAAGGGTGTGTCTCTTCTCTTGAATTTACTCGAATAGGAAGTGAATGGGAGTACTTTATCTCCTAAATTATAGTAGAACCCTAATTTGGGCATGTTTGGGCTGACTAGTGCTTGCCATTATTTCTCCATGATAGGTCGTGCTCGAATCCTATGACGAGTTTGGTAGCCTGCATACACCTCAACCATGTCAGTTGGATGTAACTTTTTCATGTTGGGTTGTTTGGTTATATGCAAACACTATTGGGCCTGTACGTCACAGTTCCAAAAAACTATTTTTCTTGTATCGCTGGAAAGCGAGCCAGACTCGATCGATGCTCTGGAGCCCACATGTGTGACTTTGACAGGACGTGCATGTAAGTGGTTTGCAAATATTTCCTCTAATGACCTCATTAATCTCGTTCATCTACACAACCATACTTTGATTCGAGATAAGCTGTACACGAAAAATATGCACCTCGATATTCTGCTCCATTCAAGTGATCGGATCGTAGTTTTGTTCACTCTATATGTTGAATTTCGTGTTCTTATTTGTTGCCTTTTTGGACGGATTTCGAAAAATTCGTGACACATGGTCGACCATTTGAAATTTTCTTTGAGGAGTAGTTTCACCTTGCTGTTTGACACGACTTTCGTGTTGCGTTTTCTTTTTCACAAATCATAGACAAGTAAATCTACATGTGACCAGTATACTGTAATATGCATGTCACCCTCCTAATCTTCTTCACTCCTAATCTCGTTCACTAGTCTTATCTAATCTACACAACCATGCTTCGATTTGAGATAAGTTGTACACGAAAAAGCATATCGACGTTGTGGTTCCATTCAAGTGACTGGTTCGTGATTTCGTTGAATGTACATGTTCAGTTTCATGTTCATGTTTGGAGCTATTTTGGATGAATTTCAACAAATTGATCGCGCACGGTCGTCTGTCTGAATTTTTCCTTGACTAGTAGCTTCATCTCTCCATTTCGTACGACTTTCGCGTTGTATGTATTCTATTTCAAAGGTTGTAGACAAATATTCCCTCCATTTCTTTTTACTCCGCGTATAAGTTTTGGTCAAAGTCAAACTACATAAAGTTTGACCAAATTTATATCAAAAAATATAAATATCTACAATACTTAAACTATATAATATGAAAATACATTCCATGGTGCATCTGAAAATGTAGATTTCATATTGTGAATGTTGATATTTTTTAATATAAAATTAGTCAAACTATGCAAAGCTTGACTTTGACCAAACCTTATATGCAGACTAAAAAAACGGAGGGAGTACATATACATGTCACTAGTCCCTTCTAATCTTCTCAGTGTACTTTACACCGTTTGCTTCGAATTTGTGGGAGTGCTCTCACGTGTGTGCTGTGTTCATGTGAACGTGTGTGTGCGCGTGCGTGTGTGTGCATGTGTTGTTCATGTGACCATGCGGGTGTGCCGGCATGTGTGTGTTCATGTAAACGTGTGTGTTGTCACGTGTATATTCTATTGTAACCTCTCTGTTTTAGTGTAGTTGTCAACTCCTAATTACGATGTATGTATACAATGAAACACTAGAGAGAAATTGCTTTTACAATGCAGACAATCTATATGCAGGTGACCAAACTGTTGGGGTCTACGATAGGGTGCGTCGACTGCAAATTAAATTTTCTACACGCAGAATAATCAAGAACATGCTACGGGAGATGAATCACAAATTGTTACACTAGACGCGCAGTGCCGTGCAGCGGAAGTAGAGTTGAGGCAGCGCGTTTCCGGAGTCGCCTCCTCCTTGCCGGTCTCCCACGTAGCCGGTCGGATCTCGCGAACAGGTTCGCCGGAGCGGTGCAAGTGCACTGCCTCTAATGGTATCCGCGCGTGCAGGAGGAACACCGTGCGGCGGACTGCTAGGTCCGATCACACAGTCGGCGGCGAGTGGAGGTGGCTATTCGCAACACATGCAAACCCTAGTCGCAGCGCCGAAGCGATCAACCTCATAAGTGCGCTGCACCTCCACCTTATATAGGCGTCCGTTGCGGGCTCAACACTTGGGCCTCGCACGGACCCTAAAGCCCAAAGTCTACTCGGTCACGTTTCTAGTCC